AGGACTGAGGACGTAAAGAACGACGATCCAGAAGCAGCGTAGTGTATTGGGATGAGATGCATAGGTGTATATATCCCATTAAGTGCGAAGTGACCTCACATAACCTCAGACCAATAAGACCACAGCAATCCACTCTAAATATCTAATAGCTGTTAATAATTCTTAGCAGAGACCTATATTTAGGTTATGTAAGGTCACTCTGTAACTAATAGAATACAGGTAGGAATTATATAGTAAATATCTGAAGTGGTTATGGTTATTGGGTTTTGGTATTGCCTGCCAGTCAAGATGTTCTGCAGTTCTGAGCAATTCTTTGTTTTATAGAGATTGAACTCTTGCCGAGGTTCTCACGAACAATTATAAATTGACTTGGCTAGGTGGCGCAATGGCAGCGCTTTACTTTCCGGTGGTAAGGGTTCTGGGTTCGAGTCCCAGCCTGGTCGGTTATCTTTTTATCTATATTACTTACTTCCCTTTAATCCTACCTATTTTAGCTTCTTATTTAATAAATAGATCCTAATTATCTAATAATAAGTTATTAAGGTTAACCTAATAACTCTAATAGCTTAGCAATAGTTAACGTTATAATAATTAATAAGTATGATAACTAAACTGGCCTAGGCAGTAAAGATTTAGTGGCTGGTAAGCCAGAAGGGAAATAAATCAAGGGACGAGATTCAGTACAAACCTGTACCGGCTCCAAAACCAATGAGGTTCGCATGCAGCATCATGGCCAGAAGCCCCCAGAGAGTTGAAACTATAGAATAAACAGCTAGTGATTCCAATATGTGTACTTAATAAACTTGATTAGTAAGAGTTGGTTTAATCTGACTCTTGAACTGCGTTCACGGCCAAACTGTGGTCTTTATGTTAACTACCTACCTACTGGATTGCAGCTCTAAAGGTGCTTGCCGTCTCGCGGATCCTTCAACATGGGCTACGTGTACTTGGCAATTGAGTTATAATCTATGATTGTAAACCCTTAGATGTTGTGTAAACAATACATAATGTATTACTTGTAATCACCCAGGAGCTTTCCCAGGCTTCAACCAGATCGCCGAGCCTTTCGATGCTGACCTATCAACCCTAATTAATACATCTTAAATCGAGGCTCCGAATATATACACATGTTTTCATTTTCTGGCGCAGCGCTCTGTCTTCTCTCAACTTCTTCCCCCTTCGCCTCCCATACAGTAAATTCTTAGTTGCTCCCTATCTCAAGAATCATTTTCTGTCCACCACAAACAAATTTCACGAGGACTTACAAGCTGCCGTAAGCGGCAGGCAGTAATCTCTTTCTTTCACTTAGGCAACTTCGTAACTTGAAGCAACCTTCACCCTTGCTGGCCAGTTAGACTAGGCAGTCGCAGAGGTCACGCCTGCACAACGCCTCCCCGACTTCATTTACGCCCCCAGATATCTTCATATATTCATTCAGTTCCTTTCTCTTTCGCGTTTTAGCTTCCATACCTCTTTTCTCGACGCTTATACTTTGCACTCGACAACACAACTACACCATGGAGCCCGAAAGTCACCCTGCTACCGGCAAGGTCGCTTACAACGTTTGGCTCGACGCCTTTGACGACGGTCTCTGGTCAGATGAACCTCGTCCACAGAAACTGCGTCTCGTTGCTTCCGAGTTCTTCGAACGCCAGTGGATCAATACCAGGCCTGAAATCATAAATGACTGGAATCGGCGACAGGACAGCTGGCGCTTGCCCACCGCTCATGAGAAAGACCTTACGAAATGGGATATCGACCACCATTGTTTATGGATCGGATGGTTCGTCCCGCGCCTTCACCGCCTCTATGAAAACCGCATTCTCCAACGCGGTCAGTGTGTCAACAACTGCATAGGCAGAGTCCTGGACCGCTCCAACGTCAGCAAGGCCTTCAAGGTTGTCTACAAGTCTGGTGGGACCAGCAAGAACAAGCTATTCGCTCTCTACTCTCCGGACGAAAACGGCATTTGCAGAGCTATCTCGGTCCCAGGGGGCGTTTGCAGCGTCTTGTTCTTCGAAGAGTGGAGGGACGACACACTGAATGGGCGCACATCTCGGCAGAAGTCATGGCTGAGGAACGTTATGAGCAGCTCCCTTGCAGAACGGTTGATCCCTGCCCCGAAGGCATCATACGAGCTCCAACCCGAAGAACAAGGACGCCAAACTTGCTACGACGAGTCCGCGTTAAGAGATTGTTTCGTCGTTGGGGACCAGTCACCGCCTTCCAATGATTCGGATCGCGATGGCTCGGAATATGTGTTCTCGGGGTCTGAGTCGTCCGAGTCGGACAACGACTCTGAACCGAGCCCCACGAGTGCGCAGTTCAAGACTTTTGATGATGAGGCAGAAGAAGAATCTGACGATGAGCACATTGGCCGCAAGCTTACCGATCTTGGTCCTATGCAACAGGACACCTCGAATCAAGCTTCATACATCGTATCAACCGGGAACACTGCATTGGACAACATACCCTGGTCTGTCAGGGTCGCTCGGCCTTTGCGGCGAGTCCGGCTTCGCCCCCCACGCTCACCACTAGCGGCGGCGTCCATACGCGAAAACAATGTTCCCCAATCGACAACGTGGGATTTCGGTATGGCCCCAAAGACATCAGGCACGCAGACGAGGAAGCGCCAAGTTGGGCAGCGCGTCGAACTCGCTTCAAGATCCAAGCGCAGCCGGCCTTCTCGGCAAACCTCAGCGGGCCTTGTGAAGGCCGAGAATGGAGACACCAATGACGAGGATCAGTCCAAGGTTCAGAATACACATGACAGCGATGACGAGGTGCAATTTATCAGAGAGGTGTCTCTCACCAAAACTCGCAAGAAGCAAGATGTAGCAACATCCGTGGCACAGCCTCCTAGAGAGAGCGTTGCCTTCATACTTGACTTCATCGCGGCCGGCAAGCTGAGCAAAGTGGCACGTCTTCACGACGCAGTCTCCCGTAGAGTCACGCTCAAGCAATTCAGGAAGCATCTCACGTCGACACCGGGGGCGGAGTCCGATGCCCTGGCGAATAATATCGCCGAGAACGACGACGAAGATACTCGCACTATGCTGGCGGAGGCGCTTGCCGCAGAACTTGAGGAAAAGATGACTGGAGCCGTCAAACCCCGTTCCAGCAGCAAATCGTAAGTGGCCTTTCATTTTGAACCCTTATTGTTCTGTTACTAACGAGGAGTTGACAGATATACCCTTGCTCAGCCCTCTTGAATGGTCCTTTTCCGATCGGGTGAACGCCGACTATCGAACATTGGACCCGGTCTTCTAACCGCATGATACGTCTAAGCCCCTAAACGTAGCCGCTGTGTTCATCAAGTACGTCATCCAATATCCCGTTCATGGTTTTTTATGACTAATGAACAGTGACAGGATTGATGGTACGAGCTGAACGATACTTGAGAATAGTAGAGAGTGTTTCAATAGGGTTCAACTACGAAATTGCGAACGTGGCACGTGGTCATTGGCAGTTGAAGTGAATCGCAAGTGACCTACTTTTCTCCTCCAGAGGTAGGGATAACCTTCACGACGAAGAAATTGGGCTGGAAGGAATGAAGAAAGCGAAGCGAGTAGAGATGTCTTTTCCATTTACAAGTGGCGGAAAAGGAAGCCAGAACTGACACGAGCATTGCTATTGATATCACACAATGACTATATTCTAGCTTATCATTCATACCAAATCGCAGAATTGATGATTTTGAAACCTCAGCTCATGAAAGCTAGATTTCATATCAGAAGCGGCTTGCTATTATTTACAGACATGGTGAGATCTTCATGTTTAGAAACTCGAGTGCCGTGTCTGAACTCTTTTGAAGAAGCCTCTCTGTTCTTCTGAGTGTGACAGCCCAGCCTACTTAATGGAATTGAACAGAAGTGTCTGCAAAAGACTGTGTTTCTTAAGTATATCAGCTTGCTGGAACAAGTTTAAGACTGCTGCACAAGTCACCACAGCTATTCAAGCTGCGCGGAGTAAACTCTGGAAAGTGGAGGCTGTCGTGAAACTTGTCCGTGTTGATGGACCATAACTATTACTTGACCGCCACGGCTTTCAGGAAGTTGCCGTCCCCCTCACATCTCATCACGTCTCTTTATCTAATTTTACAGAGGAAATTACCAGCTGGCTCCTTCTCTTTCTAGTATCAAAACAAGGCAAGCCAACTCCTCTCACCTTGCGACGCCGAACTAGCCATCTGGACAGTGTTTTGTTCACGTCTTTCAGCTTCTTTGTCCTCGACAATTTGGTTTGATCCAACAATAAGGAGCCCAAGGCATCAGCAGACAGCATGACCAACGGGAAAAGCAGTGGCATCAATGGCGAACTTCGAAGACGTAACCAACCGCGACGCGGCGGTGGTAAATACAAGTGGGCTATGCAACCTCACCATTCCATTCAGCTGCAGAAAGACTGGCTTAATCTAGCCACCAAACTCTTCAACGCCGATGAGGGCGACATTCTCTTGACCAGCAGCGAGAAGAATGAGGTTCTAAGCCTACTCGCGAAACGAATTTCAGACGCTTACATCACCACCCCCGGCCGAGCGGTTGAGAGGACTGTGGACACTGTGCGTAAGATGATAGAGGGAAAGCGGTCCCTCGGCGAGGTCGATATCTATACGGCGCTCCTCAGGTACAGTCTACAGCCCCCGGCGACCTGGTCCGGCGTGGAGATTATTGAACAGCGGCTGGATGCTCTTCGATATCTCGAGCGCTGCGCCGATGGCGTCGAGGAGTACAACTTGCAAGTCATGAAAGCCATGACAAAGACAACAGTCGTTACGGCGAAGACCCAGTTGAGAAACGATGCCCCGGGAAGCACGATGCCATCTACCACTTTCACAAGCGACACTGGTACAACTTCAGACAATCTGTACAATCCGGCAGCACTTCCATGGACCCAATCAAAACTCAGCTTGGTGTCGCCCACGCCGCCGTCGAAAAAGCGCAAGGCGGCCTCAGAGCTACCTCCCCAGAAGAAGGCAACGCTCCCCAAGAAACCCACCAGCCCCAAGAAGAGAGCGACCCCGAGAAAGAAAACCAGTCAACCTGAGGCCGTCGACATCTCCACGAAGCGCAAAAGTGCAGCCCTGGCTCAAGACCAGACTGACTCTCCCACTAGCAGCCTCCGCCGCGCTCGGCGGAACCCTGGCACCACGACTGAGTGCTTGACCGGAGGCGTCGATAGCGCTCTCCTCGCCAACATCTTCAAGGCGACCGAGGTCCTCGATCAAGTGGCGCACTACGAAGACGCTTGCGTCCGTCGGGTCGCACTCTCGACGTTCGTCGCTGACCTTCAGAAAGCGGGCTGGAAGGACCTGGAGAAGTCAGCAGCACAGCTAATCAAGGACGGGGACTGTGAATCCCGCGAATTCCTCGCCAGAATGATTGTCAGCGGCAGTTACCAGCTTATCAACGAGGCGCTTGACCAGGAGGCCAAGCCCACCAAG